AATAAGGAAGCACCTATTTCAGAATTTGGTCAACATAAAACCCGTAATTAAGCATGAGAACGGTTTCATGAATACGGGCCCTGGTGTTGTTACGGAACGGTGCAGGAATCTTCTGCTTCGTCGACTATCCCTGGCCATGTAAATCTAGGTCAACTCCAAGCAGTGATGTCCTCATAGCAAGAACCGGATATTAACAAAACTACAAGTAGGTTTACTAATGAGTATAACAATAGGAATCGACCTTCATAAAATAACAATGAACATCCTATTTCCAAATGAGATCACGATGGCGACAAGGTGCTAAGTTCGACTATTACAAGAATTGCTTAGTTGTTATGCTATATGTCAAACTCTTTCCTAAAGCCTTTATGGACCGTCACCCTGAAATTCTCGTGTTGTAAGTTTTTCTTTCGGCAGTCGATATCTATCACGAAAATCCTGATATTCAGAGCATGTTCTTGAATACCGAATCAGCTGTGACAGGTAAATTCTGTTAGGATGTTACTATTAAGAAAGGGAAAGTTCACGCCCGGAAACAGAAATCGTCACTCTTTAGTACAGCTTAGTAGTAATCCGTCTCTGTTGGTCGTATCGAAATAAACATCGAGGCAAGATTTGAGTTCAACTTTATGTTTATACGACTCTCAGAAGAAGACAACAAATGCCTACCTTCAGTTTGGTATGATGACCGGCAGTGTAAAGAGTGGAAGTCAAAAGATCTGATAGAAGAAACATTTTAAGGAGATATCATGGTAGAAATAATTTAAAAATCCACTTTTCATTGATAACTCTTCTGCATGGAGATTACAGTTTAGCAATACAACTGTTACCCTCGTTCAGCGGTTGTAAGAATTAAAGTAAGAAGTTTTGCTGACAAAACGGTATCCTCATATTTTGTCTAAGAGGATGCCACACAAAATGCGTTCAGGTCGCGTAGTTATACAAACATGCTCTAAACCAAAATAACGTATTACTATGCTACTTGAGGCCAAAAAATGTCAGTGTTTTTCCTGATCAGTATGCCCTTAGAGTTGGGCAGATCAAATAAAAAAGGATGTTCAAAGTTGGCTTCACCTATATATTCATGAAGAAGTCTAAACAATTAAACGAAGAACCCACGAATATTTGTAATACGTTATGACGGTTTTGACGTTGAATTTTTCTACTCTCTGGGATTAATAAAATGAGTTTTGATTTGTAATATGTTGAAATTCCATGTGATTTATTGTTGAGTATTCACGTAGCAATCGTCAAAAATGAGTTCAGAAGTTCTGAGAAATAGACAGTTGGTACAGAACAATTCAAGTGACGATCACAAACATCGCATTTGATTGAAAGAGGTCAAATATGTAAAAGACTACGAATAAATCCAACGAATCATCACAAAGCTGCATTCACTTTGCATAAACCCGCAAAGATACACAGTATAAGGCTTGATCTGTAAACACGCTCCCTGTTCACTGTATGCTTCATTGGTTTCGGAACACTTCATACAAGGGGTTTTAATTCTTTTAACCTTAAGCACCAGTGTTGAGTCGTAAATTCACAAAATGATCACATGGAACAGTTAAATGTTTATTTTGTTTGATTCCTTAGTGATTAGTGTACAAGGTTAGGGCATTATTGTACAAGGTTAGGGCATAATTGTACAAGGTTAGGGCATAATTATACAAGGTTAGGGCATTATTGTACGAGGTTAGGGCATTAGTGTACAAGGTTAGGGCATTATTGTACAAGATTAGGGCATTATTGTACAAGGTTAGGGCATAATTGTACAAGGTTAGGGCATAATTATACAAGGTTAGGGCATTATTGTACGAGGTTAGGGCATTAGTGTACAAGGTTAGGGCATTATTGCAGTTCCTTGAATTATTATGTATCAAACTTAAACTTTCACTTCATACTTAAACAATGTATCACCGAACGTGTCGCAACTGTCCAAGACCGACTGGTCCCTTGGTAAAGCTATGACTGAGTGATGGTGTGTCTCATTTAAACAACTCTTAAAATAACACTTTTAATATAGTCAGTTTATTGTCAGTTATGCATTTTTATAGCAGTGAATATTGCTTTAATATCGCCATTAGAACATAATCAGCCTATTTCTTTATTTATGGGGGTAACATATAGCATAAAAATATAGCAATCACGATCTGTTAAGACTTTAGGCAAGAGTTTAATGGTAGCAATCACGATATATTAAGACTTCAGGCAAGAGTTTAATGGTAGCAATCACGATCTGTTAGGACTTTAGGCAAGAGTTTAATGGTAGCAATCACGATCTGTTAGGACTTTAAGCAAGAGTTTAATGGTAGCAATCACGATCTGTTAAGAGGTATCATCTGTGATATAAAGGTGGATGGTTTTTAAGTATTCTCGTTAGTGAACATTTATTTTATTTTCCAAACTCTGGTTATCGCTTTGAGACCGCGACACCACTTTATTTTTTGTTTTGTTAGCATTGCTTTTGTAGTCGATCTCAATTAGATTCTGATATTCTCTAGTTATTATTTTCTGATACAGTTTACATGAGAAACCAGTTTAAGGGGTTTGCTAATTTGTAATCACCATTACCTTATATTTCTACATATTTTCGGATCACTTTAGTCTTCTTTTTTTTTTCAATCTTTTGACCTTTATTACCATAAATGAGTCCTAAAAGGACCAAATCGCCATCTGGTACAGAAGGATTCCTTTGTTTGGCTCTCTGACTTAATACATTTTAAATATGTGCTTCCCTTGCACCTCTACCGATTATTTTTGATGACTTATTTTCAACTATTTTTGAAAGTTATAGCGTGTTATCTTTATAAAGCGAGATAACTCGTGTAGTCTCTAAAAATTCGAGAACTGTTGGAATAAGGAAAATTATGTTCATATGGCTTGACCTCTTGGGCAAATAACATCTAATTCGGTAATTTTAGATTCATCAAATTTACTTATATTCTACTGAGGGGTATTTAATATGAAAAAAGTTTGCTTCCAAGATTTTTTTCTACTATTTCCTCCTACATTTATGCATACGATAATTTTCATCAAGAGGGTTATCATCAGCAATGCTGGAGATATTTGTAAAATTCTTATTGAGGTGGTAAAATATCCCCTGTTTATTTGTTGGGACTAGATTTTTCCACGGTAGGCTAGTGGGTTTATTAGTGGTAACAACCTGCTTAAAATTTAAAAAAAAACATCCTCTGCAGTACATCTTAATCTGCAATAGCTTGTGATTTTGCATTATGGTATCGATTTTTATTTTTTAAGTATTTTCTATGACTTCATTCAGGCAACCCAAATTCTTTTTATTATTTAATTGTGCATGAATTTGCAGACAACGGCACATAGAAAGATTGTGTACCATTTATTAGTCACAGAATGTGGACCAGTTTCATTTAAAATGGTATCCAGTTCACTGGGTAAGAATTCCTGGGAGAAATATTTCTTCTTGTTATGTGTGCGTGTGATCTTTGTTATAACTGTTAGTAGATATGCATTCAGGGTAGTGATCACTTAACGAAGAGATTTATATAATGATTTCAGGAGTTAATTAAATACAGTAAAATGATCTTATCTAAATCGTTTCCGTAGTACGGGTTATCGTTGACCATTAAAACGTTGGAATCATTTTATGCAACAATACTATCATAACTTAGAAAACAATTAAAATCTGTATTGTCTTTTTGATGTAACCTCTAATTTCTCCAATTTCTCAGTATTTTTTCAATTTTTCAATTTCTCCAGATTCCAACACAAATTCTGACTAGACATTTTTTTATGATATATATTATTACACTGATACGGCATATTTTACTGAAATACTAAACTGAATAGAATTTCTACTGATATCCTGGATTTCTGTTACAGTATCGGAACATTCCCAGTAAGTCGCCCTGGCGAATTTCAGTATTAGAAAGATACCCCCCCCCCTCGCATTTTTGCTCCAAATTCCTAATCCTCCTAAACAACAGCTTTGATTGTAACCATATTTGATTAAAACATTACACGGGCAATAAAGAAACTTTGGATGTAAAGCTGTACTTCTAAAAATGCTCTGCCCTGCCCTGCCCTGCTTTCAGTAACTTAGTTATTAAGTTACCAAGGAGACACTTGAGTTGCCCACATTTTAACCTTATATGCAATTGCTAGGCTTGAAGAGAATGATGCATTTGAATGCTATCGTATTGGCACGGGGGTCCAACCCCACCCCATGGGGATTAGGTCTCTATGTAATAACATGGTCCCTGCGGTTTATATCACCAACCATATAACCATATATACAAACGCTGGGCATGAAGAGACGAATGTTGTCATGCTACTGGGATTAACGTTTAGGTCTCGCCTCACCCCTTGGTACTTACTCCCTGCTGTTTGCATGAAAACTGATGAAATCCCCGGCATCCGAAAACCATATAAACAATGCTCGGCATGAAGAAACGAATTACATTCATGTTCTAAGGTGTTTTGTCCGCACATAGGGATTTACAGCCTACAGACCGATATAAAAAAGTCGATAAAACGTCAGAATAATTCGGACTAATATATTTCTTGACTCTTTTGATGAATGTGTATGGTAGATTGCTATGAAAATAATTTTCCTGGTAAACTATATTTAGGCAATTGGAAATCATGTTTCAGTAATTGCAACACTTTATATGCGACATATGCCCATTTAAGTGAATAACATTATATAACAGTTGATTTTGCCATCCGGCAATGAATAGCGAAGAATACACGTGTGAAAAATCAGAGCCGAATCCGTATATCTTCATTCCGCGTTAAAGTTAAAGCCAGCCACAGGAGTTTGACGTTATATCAATAAAATATAGAAGTCTGGATGAAAAAAACACCCCCTATACTTAAAAAATATGTAGTAAAGCAGTGGTTTTTTTCCCATTCATACTGCTATATCTTATTAATATAACGTGAAACCTGCAGTAGTTCTCAAAGTCAGGTCTAGGGGAGGCTACTCCTAAAAGTCCAAGTGAAAGGAACTCTCCAGTCAGAGAAAAAAACATCCGGAAAAAATGGCGATGTCCATAAGGCACTGGAGGAGCACGTTGAGATTATTAAGACAAGGTAAATATGACAGATATGAATAGTTACACAACTAGTAATCAATTTCTAGTATCGAATGTATCGCATATGCTGGATCATGTGTAGGTCAAATTTCAGTTTCGCCAACAATATTGGCGTGAGCCGTTTGACAGGTTACACGTGGAAAAATGCATGGCCAGACCGGGGTTCGAACCCGAGTACCTCTAAACTCTAGATGGACACTCCAACCAATTGAGCTACATGGTCGACGGCGATCGACCGAGACCAGTTCCGCTATATTCCTTCGTCCTCAGGGTATTCATGTAATACAGTGTAAAATAGTGTGTTGTTGAATTTATAAAGATTTCAATACATATATGTTTTCGTTTTTCATCTTAATAGAATTTTATTGATTGTATGTAACAGTATTAAAAAAAGAACTGAGATGAAATATTTTAGAGTAATTAATATTTCCATTAAAGATCTATATTACTTATTTTTAATGTAAGAGTATGTCATAAAGTGTTGTAAATAATTTCTAGAATGTTTAATGTCCAATCATTTTGAATTTTAATTAATTACTGTTTCAGAGCTGTGTGTAAATTATTCTATGTTTGTACTCATAAATAAATTGTGTTATACATGTGTAATTAATTAATATTTTCATTGTCTTAATGTTTTTGTAATTTATTCTATGTTTGCATTTGTGTTATTGATTGCTATGGCGTATTTTGCAAATGTACGAGTTACTTCCCTTGAAATTGACTTCTGAATCGCGAAGAAATATTTTGTCGATTTCCTAACAAAATAAACATTTTTTAAGAAAGAAACTTTACCAAAACCTGTTTATTGCATACACCAAAGGAAAAACACAGTTATTTGCTGAAAATAATTCTTATATTTAGCTATGGCGTGAAAAAACACGTATGGCACAAATTAGTGTAAAAGTGCTTCGTAATCAAGATCGATTTTCTAACAAAGTACACATTTTTTTTTAAATGATACTTTACCAAAACATGTTAAATGAGTATACCAATGGAAAAATCGAAATATTTTGTGGATAAAACACTTCCATTTTGCTATGGCGTGCAAAAACTCCTATGGCGCACCTATGGCGCAAATTAGTGTGACCATAAAACATCACAAGTAATCGACTGTAGGTGACTTAAAATACCTACTGCCATAAAAATATGGTGAAGCATAGGAAAATGTTGACAATTATCATGTGTGGGAGGGTAGGTTGTTTACTTCTCACATTCGTATTACTTTGTTAAGTATAATTGTTGTTTATGATTTAGAGACTGGGATCTGTTGCTTTCTGTGTTATTCACCCTTATTTAGGGTAGGGCTTTTCGTTCAGTGTAGGATTCCTGACGATCAGCTGCTATGCTACCGGTGCTGAAATCTGTGTGTTTACACTTTTGAGACGGCCGGTGGTGGGTGATAGTAATAACAGGAATAGGTTCCCGCTCCTCGCTCACATGCTTTTAAATGGTGAGGCTGGGTTCGAGATTAACAATTGGTCACTCATCTTCGAGGCTATTTGGTGTGGGGGAGCAGGGGGGGTAAAAAACAGCGGGTCCGGGCAAGCGCATACCTGCCAACCCTGGACATACTGAAAGAGGGTTATGACCCTCTTTTGAAAATTAAAAAGAGGGTCATAGTGCGCGACAGCTTTTTTCGCAACAAATATAAGAAAAATAGATATTAAATTATAACTTAAATATTTTAATGATGTAAAAGTTACATTCTACATTCATTGAACTGTTCTTCCAGCAGATCTAGCTGATCCTTATCCACAATACCAAATTCAAAGCTGAAAAATAAAAAGATTTGTCAATAACACAACTTATAAAATTAATTCATAATAATATATATGATACTGTGTTTTCTCAGGCATTTTTAATGTCAATTGAAATGGTCCCGACAATAAGATGTCACATTCTGCTCATATAAAATACCATTTTGTTTCTGTCAATGAAAATGGTCCTGACAACAAGAAGTTGCACCCTTCTCATATAAAATATCAGTTTTATACGAGTAGGGTTTGAACTCTTATTGTAAGGATCATTTTGATTGACAGAAACAAATCATCAAATGCCTGTGCGTGTTTTTGACTAGAGTGCAGAATGCAGCGTTTGGTCCACGACCACGGGACTTTGTACACTATAACTCATTTTCCTACGACATTTGATATGTGTACAATTATCTTTTCTTTTAGCAATTCGTGTAGTAGAACCTGCAAGTCCCGATAAAAACTTCTTCCTTCAAGAAGACATAACGTTACCTTCAAAATACGATCTATTCTACGTAAATACAAGTCAATTATTCGTTAAAAACCTGACTAATAACTTGTCGGCAAGTTCAGTAACAACGTTCTTTATATAAACATTTGTAAAAACAGTTCTAGTACGTATATAATCAACTCACAACTTACCTGTTGGTGAGAAACGGAAACAGGAAATAGATCGTCTTTCTTGTGAAGAAGGATGGTAAAGTCTAGAGAATTCCGAGTGACTCTGGTAACTTCTAATATATGAAAAGATCCCGGGTGAAAACGGGTGAAATTGACGAAATCCGGGTCAAAATCGTAACCCGGCGGGTGAAGTTATAAAAGCGGGTGTAGGGTTAAAATCCTGTGTGTAACCCGACGAAATCGGGTCACTTGGCAGGTATGCAAGCAGTGTCTTGACAGGGTCGGTGAGCCGACCCACTTCTCCTGGTGAGGAGAACCCTACCGCCTCATGCGCTGTTAACAGTGCAAAACATGGGTCGAGGTGCTGCTAACAGTACCAATACCGTAGAACTACATGATGGTATCGTTCCTGGGATATATAGAGTGCTATAGGAACTACAGTACATGTATGTAGGGATAGTCAGGGGCTTCGGGCTTAGACATCGATACATGGTGGTTCGCTGTAGATCTATAGGGAGCTAGGAGCACGTGGTCGTAGTCTACTGGTAGAACTGTTAGGTAGGATAGGCCATTACTCTACATACGTAGGGATTGAGTTTCTTAACATTAGTTGTCATTGTTCGGCACTAATGCTATGCTTCGTATTTGTTAAACTTGTTGTACATATTCATTCCGTCTTGTTAATAAACAGTTACTTGTATTTTAATCACCTTGTTGAGTTATTGAATCAATTGCTTGTATTACCACTACATCCAGTGTTCGAACCTGTAGTGAAAACAGGTCTGTAACCTGACGAAAGAGGCGAGGTCTAGAGAGGACTGCAGGGTTAGTTGTCGACTCGTTACCATTGCCAAAAACTATACGATCACGAAACAGATTTAACGGAGTGACAACGGATGTAAAACCCTCTCCGGACCTCCCCCTATTACATATGCAATACACCCCTTAGGTTCAGCTCATGTCCTGGAAGATGATGATGATGATGATGATGATGATGATGACGATGACGACGACGACGACGACTTATTTTAAACTCTAATTTTATAATCATGATTTAAGCTCACCTGGTCTGAAGGACCGGTGAGCTGAATATGCCATGTCGCAGTGTCCATCGTCCGTCCATCAACTTTTCCTTTAAAACGCTACTAACCCTGAACGGCCCAGTAGATTTTGACTAAATTAAGTCTAGCACCCTTAGGTCAAGCGCTGTGGCCCTCCTGGGGGCGGGCCCCAATAGGGGAAAAAGAGGTAAAACCTTTAAAATCCTTTTACTGTAGGGATAAAGGGATTTTATCCAAATTATTGTAGAGCATCCTTAAGCCAAGGGGGTTAAATTTTGTATAAACGGTGGTTGCTTTATTATCCAGGTGATACAGGCCCTCTGGGCCACTTGTTCACAAGTCCAAAGGACCAGTTAGGTTAGGTTATTCTCTAGTCCTTGCTGAAATCTAGTAAAGACACACAAGAACCTTTACCACAGGTACTATCTTCGTCTGTAAATACACCCATAATATTTAAATAGGGTTGCTAACTCTGTACCCTAGTAAAATGACCCCGTTCCAGAAAACATGTGGTTTTGTCATAATTGTTTATTATGTCAAGCCGCGAGAAGTCTAGATTGACAGGAAAATATTTTTCTTTAATTTGATGTTTGATTTACTATATGTATGCAGTATAATTTTGGATAGACTTCATAAAACACAGAAAAACAGTCAAATTTCAGTTGGTCGGACACTGTGCTATTCCAGGGATGACAAGCTACATCCCTAGTTCAAGTTAATAGCCCAAAACACACTGCATGTACACTATTCAATGTCAGTACATGTACACTATATTACTATAGTTACATGCAGATGGGGGCAATTTGGCTATATTGCTACAAACGACTTCTGTAAAACTATGCACTGGATATCAATCATAATTGATCAAATGCATTCATGGGAGGCAGGGATTCAAAATTGTACAAATGATGGAGCTGACCCCCCTGGGGGCTAAGGAGTGGGGTCAAAAAAAGTGTATTACTTGGTTGAGATCCCCACTGTATAACCATATATACAATTGCTGATCAGTATAAAGAGCAGAATGCACATTTGCTTCCAGGATGGCCCTAGGGTCTAGCCCCACCCTAAGAGACATAGTCCCTGGGTCATAACTATAAAACGGTTGAGATCCCCGCCCCAAAATTATGTATACAAATGCTGGGCATAAAGAGACAAATGCAGTCATGATATTAGAATAGATCCTGGGGTCTGACTGAATCCCAACAGACCTAGTTGCTTAGTCACAGCTTGGAAACAGTTGAGATCCCCACCCTATAATATAACCATATTATATACAATTGCTGAGTATAAAGAGATGAATAGACATATGCTTCCAGGATGGCCTTGGGGTCTGCCCAACACTTGGAGACTTAATCCCTGGGTCATATCTTCGAAATGGTTTATATCCCCACCCCAAAACTATATATACAATTGTTGGGCATAAAGAGACGAATGCACTCATGATATTAGAATTGATCCCCGGGTCTGCCTCACCCTTGCAGACTTAACCCCTGGGTCATAACTTAGAAACGGTTGAGATCCACACCCCAAAACTATAAATACAAATGATTGGCAAAAAGAGACCAATGCAGTCATGATATTAGAATTGATCCTGGGGTCTGGTCACAACCCTAGGGACATAGTTTCTGAGTCACAGCTTGGAAACAGTTGAGATCCCCACCCCATAACCATACATAAAATTGCTGGGCATGAAAAATCTAATACAGATATGCTACATATTCCCTTGGATCTCATTTGGAGAATATTTTGCCATAATTGCTTAGATATCCAGGTGAGCGATACAGGCCCTCTGGGCCTCTTGTTATATTTACAAGCATGTGTTGCTATTTGTTATATTTACAGGCATGTGTTGCTATTTATTATATTTACAGGCATGTGTTGCTATTTATTATATTTACAGGCATGTGTTGCTATTTATTATATTTACAGGCAGAACTTGGTGTCAGCTGACTGGATACTATTCTAACCGATGTCAAAAATTGTTGACATTCCAAGAAGAACAATCAACGTCACAGTCAGAAGGGCAACCCTCAGATTTGGATGATTTGTTAACGGATAGGTCTATAGGATATACAGATGGTAAATAAAACCGGATTATCTCCCTTTACCAAATTACTACCGGTATTCATACAGATTTGATGGTGTTTTCATTCATTCACATTCAAATTGAATTATCCTGTATAAAAGTCTCATAGCACTGGTACAGCTTTTGTATGATTGTTTCAGATATTCCACTTTTCATATTTAAATTAACCAAATCATTTTTGATTCATAGCAACAAGAAAGATTTGAGGATAATGTTTAAAATAGTAAAATTCACTCAATGGAAACCCATCTTTATCAAAATTGTCTTTGAAATTGTGTTCGATGTACAACTTCATTATCTAACAATAAAATATCAAATTCATTATTTTTCTTAATTTGAAGAAACACAACAAGCGAAACTGAAGTTGAATCCTGACCAGCCAGTAAACCCGCACTTGTTGAGGGTGGCCATCATAGGGACCTACAACAGTGGGAAGTCTACCCTCACCAACAGGCTCATGGGCTGGAAAGTAAGCTGTAATCTACAGTTCAGAGCAAACTTAACTTGGTAGCCTAGTGCACTGGAGTTAACAAGAAAAGTGAACTCCAGGTCACTAGCTTGTGCACTGGAGTTAGCACTGAAGTGAACTGGAGTTCACATCAATGTGCACTGGCATTAACACTGAAGTGAACAGGAGTTAACATTGTAGTGAACTGGAGTTAACACTGAAGTGAACAGGAGTTAACACTGAAGTGAACTGGAGTTAACACTGAAGTGAACAGGAGTTAACACTGAAGTGAACTGGAGTTAACACTGAAGTGAACAGGAGTTAACATTGTAGTGAACTGGAGTGTACTTCAATGTTTTGTCAAGTGCACTTCCTTGTTCACTACATGTGCACTATGAAGTGCACTAGATACCAAGTTAAGTTTGCTCCCAACTGTACTCACCTTTCTCATACATTCATATTTGATACTTTTAGCTCACCACACCCGCAATTAGCAGAGTGAACTGTCTATTTGTAGCTCACCTGGTCCATACCGCAGCGTCCGTCGTCCGTCCGTCCGTCAACTTTTCCTTTTAAACGCTACTTGTCCTGAACAGCCAAGCAGATTTTAACTAAATTTGGTCTGGAGCATCCTTAGGCCAAGGGGACTCAATTTTGTATAAATGGTGGGTCTGGTCCCCAAGGGGCTGAGGGGCGGGGCCCACTATGTTGGATATAGCAAATTCTTTAAAATCCTTCTTCTTCTGTAGGAATGAAAGGATTTGTTCCATATTTGGTCAGAACCATCCTTGGGGGAAGGGGAACTAATTTTGTATAAACCGTGGGTTTGGCCCGCTAGGGGGCTGAGGGGCGGGGCTCAATAGGGGAAACATAGCAAATTATTCTTTAAAATCATTCTTCTTCTGTAGGAATGAAAGGATTTGTTCCATATTTGGTGTGGAGCATCCTTGGGTGAAGGGGAACCAATTTTGTATAAACCATGGGTCTGGTCTTCAAGGGGCCTGAGGGGCAGGGCCCAATAGGGAAAACATAGCAAATTATTCTTTAAAATCCTTCTTCTTCTGTAGAAATGAAAGGATTTGTTCCATATTTGGTCAGAACCATCTTTGGGGGAAGGGGAACCAATTTTGTGTAAACCGTGGGTTTGGCCCGCTAGGGGGCTGAGGGGCGGGGCTCAATAGGGGAAACATAGCAAATTATTCTTTAAAATCCTTCTTCTTCTGTAGGAATGAAAGGATTTGGTCCATATTTGGTGTAGAGCATCCTTGGGTAAAAAGGAACAAATTTTGGATAAACAGTTGGTGTGACCCCTTGGGACCTGAGGGGCGGGGCCCAATAGGGGAAATAGAAGTAAAATCTTTATAATCCTTCTACCATAGGGATTAAGGGATTTTATCCTAATTTAGTCTTGAACATCCTTTGGCAAAATGGACTCAATTTCGTATAAACAGCGAGTGTGGCCCTCCTGGGGGCAGAAGGGAGGGGCCCAATAGGGGAAACATAGCAAATTCTTCAAATACCTTCTTATGTACGAATGACAGGATTTTGTCCAAATTTGGTATGAAGCATCCTTTGGTGAAGGGTAACCAATTTTGTATAAATGGTCTGTCTAATCCCCCTGGAGGCAGAGAGGTGGGGCCCAATAGGGGAAATAGAGGTAAAACCTTTAAAATCTGTTGCCTATATCAGAGACACATTGCTGACACTGGCTACTGTCCCTGTTGCCTATATCAGAGACACATTGCTGACACTGGTTACTGTCTCTGTTGCCTATATCAGAGACACATTGCTGGCTCCTGTCTTTGTTGCCTATATCAGAGACATATTGCTGACACTGGCTACTATCTCTGTTGCCTATATCAGAGACACATTGCTGACACTGGCTACTGTCCCTGTTGCCTATATCAGAGACACATTGCTGACACTGGCTACTGTCTCTTGTCTATATCAGAAACACATTTCTGACACTGCTAAACTGTCTCTGTTGCCTATATCAGAGACACATTTCTGACACTGGCTACTGTCCCTGTTGCCTATATCAGAGACACATTGCTGACACTGGCTACTGTCTGTTGCCTATCAGAGACACATTGCTGACACTGGCTACTGTCTCTGTTGCCTATATCAGTGTAAACACTTCTGATTACCAATAGGTAGAAAGCAGAACTTCAACAGCGATGACATTTTTCAATACATTTTTTTTGAACACTTTTAGGGGATTTTTTTTTTAATCTAATTATGAATCCATTGTTTTATCAGAAAAAAATCTTTTCAAATTTGCACACCACAGTATACAGTATGAAAACATTCTCCACAGGTGTCTCCTGCTTCCAGTAAAATACATACCACACAGGAAAACGTGCTGGCAGTACACACTGAGGAGAACACACAGATCATCTTCAGAGACACACCTGGACTCATCAGGGGCAGCAGGATCAGCACCAAACAAAGGTAAGTTTAAAAATAGCATGTATCTCCTCAAATAGAAATATAACCTACTATCATCTTAAAAAAAATCAAAAAAAAGTTTGCTTCATTTTTAGCTCAACATAATCAAATAGTTAGCTGATAAATACCCGGGGTCCGTGGTCTGTCTTGATACAATTCTTGTTTTTACTAATTCGTAAGTAAGACTGATAAATTTTTCTCAAATTTCATACAAAGTTTCCTCTAGGTCAATAGTCGTGCATGTTTCATTTTGAGACTGATAGAAAACAAGACTGCCATCTTGGGTTTTGACAGTTCAAAATTGTTATTGCTTTTTCTAAAGAAGAACTAGACTAATATTTCTCCTATTTCCTGTATAGGTTCCTGTTGGACTGATCGTAGCTGTGATTTGTTTCCCCTAGGGTTATATATATATATAGATCAATCGGAAAAATGAATGGTCGCCAGGCAGTCATCTTGGAATTTGACAGTTCAAATTTGCTATCGCTGTTTTTCAACAAGTATTGTATTGGACAGATCTTTATCGAATTTCAGGTGAACATATGTTCATGTTGGCTGGTTCCATACTTGTGTTGACTGGTGATTGTTTTATTGTTTGTTGTAGCTATTTCTGAGTACATGACAGACCATTCTTAATGGGTTTGATTTGTTCTCTGTGATGCATAGCTGTGCATGTTTCATTTTGAGACCGATTAGAGAAAAAAGATGGCCACCAGAAAACCATTTTGGAAATTGGCAGTTCAAGATTGTTATCATTATATCTCAAGATGCATTGGATAGATCTTTTTCAAATTTCAAATGAGGGTTCTCCTTGGCCCATTGTTGTGCAGGTTTTATAGTTGTCAGGTAGCTATCTTGGATTTTGATAATTCAAGAGTGACTTTTCTCAAAAAGTTACTGAAAGATATTTTTCCATTTTCATATGTATGCTTCTTTTAGACCTTAGTTGTTCATGATATATATGAGACTGATTAGAAAGCAAAAAGGCTGACACGCAGCCATCTTGGATTTTGACTATTCAAGTTTTATTTTTTTGTCATTTCTCTAAACTTTAACAATGATCTAATTTTGAAAAGACCCAGCTGTATGAAGTTTTAATCAAAAGTTAACACAATATATATTTACTCAGGACAATACTGTTAATTTAACAGATAAGAAAAAGAAGAGAAAATGTCAAACTTATCCAGAACTGTTAAAAATTTTATGATGGTGGACACCAAAATCCCACAGGGATCTCTTGTTTGAAAAACTTAAGATTTTACCCTAGACTTGTTATACATTGTATTGTGTGTAATAAAACATTGTCTCCTTGTTATACAGGGAAAAACTGCAAAAGTCCATAAAAGAGGACCCAAAGAAGAGTTTGGTGGATGCTGACCTAAGTAAGACAGATTTAAAATTGTCTTTCAGAAGTGATTAAAAAATTATAAATGAACCAAGCTAGATCATCCATATTTAGTTGAATCCACTTACTATTAGCACTGAAGCTGTATCATGCATGACCTTGGCTAAATTTATACACTATACAGTATGTTTTACCACTCAGACCATTGTGACCTTGACAGCTCTATACACTGAACATATGACCTTGATAGTTGTGTGACAGTGACTTTGGCGACCTTGATAGTTATATTTACTGTACAATATGTTACGCTTCTTTGACCTTAACAGTTGTATTTATTGTACAGTATGTGTGACCTCTATGACCTTGAGCGTAATATTAAGTGTAAGTATGTGTGATCTTTGTGACCTTGACAGTTATATTTACTGTACAGTATAAAGGACCTCTATGACGTTGACAATTATATTTAGTGTAAGTATGTGTGATCTCTATGACCTTGACAGTTGTGTATACCGTACAGTATGCATGACTACTCTTGACAGCTGTGACCTTGTCATGTATCGGTATATTGTATTTTGCAGTATGTGTGACCTCTGTGACCTTGTCATATATCCGTCTGTTGTATTTTGCAGTATGTGTGACCTCTGTGACCTTGTCATATATCCGTCTGTTGTATTTTGCAGTCTGTGTGACCTCTGTGACCTTGACCTTGTCATATATCCGACTGTTGTATTTTGCAGTATGTGTGACCTCTGTGACCTTGCCATATATCCGTCTGTTGTATTTTGCAGTACGTGTGACCTCTGTGACCTTGACCTTGTCATATATCCCTCTGTTGTTTTTTGCAGTATGTGTGACCTCTGTGACCTTGACACTGTCATATATCCGTCTGTTGTATTTTGCAGTACGTGTGACCTCTGTGACCTTGACCTTGTCATATATCCATCTGTTGTATTTTGCAGTATGTGTGACCTCTGTGACCTTGACCTTGTCATACATCCGTCTGTTATATTTTGCAGTATGTGTGACCTCTGTGACCTTGACCTTGTCATATATCCCTCTGTTGTTTATTGCAGTATGTGTGACCTCTGTGACCTTGACCTTGTCATACATCTGTCTGTTGTATTTTGCAGTATATGTGACCTCTGTGACCTTGACCTTGTCATACATCCGTCTGTTGTATTTTGCAGTATGTGTATTGGTGGATGCTTCTGACCGCTGGGATGTAGAATTTCTAGATGAGAATGTTTATTATCTACTTAAGAGAAATAAGCACATCCCATCTGTCCTCATCCTCAATAAGGTTAGTATTGTAATTAATGTTGCTGATATCAGAATTCACTATATTTAACAGTTAATCCATGTTACAATTCACTATAATTAACAGTTAATCCATGTTACAATTCACTATAATTAACAGTTAATCCATGTTACAATTCACTATATTCAACAGTTAATCCATGTTACAATTCACTATATTCAACAGTTAATCCATGTTACAATTCACTATAATTAACAGTTAATCCATGTTACAATTCACTATATTCAACAGTTAATCCATGTTACAATTCACTATATTTAACAGTTAATCCATGTTACAATTCACTATATTCAACAGTTAATCCATGTTACAATTCAGTATAATTTACTGTTAATCCATGTTACAATTCAGTATAATTTACTGTTAATCCATGTTACAATTCAGTATAATTTACTGTTAATCCATGTTACAATTCAGTATAATTTACTGTTAATCCATGTTACAATTCAGTATAATTTACTGTTAATCCATGTTACAATTCAGTATAATTTACTGTTAATCCATGTTACAATTCAGTATAATTTACTGTTAATCCATGTTACAATTCAGTATAATTTACTGTTAATCCATGTTACAATTCAGTATAATTTACTGTTAATCCATGTTACAATTCAGTATAATTTACTGTTAATCCATGTTACAATTCAGTATAATTTGCTGTTAATCCATGTTACAATTCACTATGTTTAACAGTTAATCCATGTTACAATTCACTATATTCAACAGTTAATCCATGTTACAATTCACTATATTTAACAGTTAATCCATGTTACAATTCACTATATTCAACAGTTAATCCATGTTACAATTCAGTATAATTTACTGTTAATCCATGTTACAATTCAGTATATTCAACAGTTAATCCATGTTACAATTCACTATATTCAACAGTTAATCCATGTTACAATTCACTATAATTAACTGTTAATCCATGTTAAATATGTAGTATATTAATTACCAGTTGGATTTCATCGAACAAATTGATTCTGTGTTATATATACAAAACAGAAGAATAAATTGGACTATAACATTCTAACCTTGTATCAGATAACTCATAAATACCATAGCAGTGATTTTTAAGATTAATATGGGGCCTTTTTATAAGGCCCCTTCCCCCAGATAATTTTTGCTGTTTTTTTCTCTCAAAAATCAACGAAAAAATCACTTTATTTCCCAAAATCATGATTTTTTGTGGGTGATATTTTCCCAAATCAACAGGCACAGGCCCCAGTGGAAAGGAAGTTGAAAAACCACTGCAAAGTTGACTGTGGAGACTTTTAACTATGCCTGGTTTTTTATACTTGTATGGTACCAGATCGACCTTGTAAAGGATAGTAACTTCCTGCTTCACATCACTAGAGCGCTCACCATGGATACTGTTGGTAAGGAGAAGATCCGCATCACTACAGGAAAACGGAGACCAACGTGGAAGGTCGAGGACATTAGAGAAGCCATGAAAACCGACGGGAAAAGAAAGCAGGCAGTAAAAAACAAACTAGACTCCTTGTTTAACCGAGTTGATAAAGTCAGAGGAACAGCTCAGAAGAAACCTGGTAAAATATCTCAATACAATGTGATACAATTTATATGTAAATATAGGTTATTATATACAATGTTATACTATTTATATGTAAATATAGGTTATTATATACAATGTAATACAATTTATATGTAATTATAGTTATTATATACAATGTTATACAATTTATATGTAAATGTAGGTTATTATATACAATGTGATACAATTTATATGTAAATATAGGTTATTATATACAAGGTAATGCAATCCATATGTAATATAGGATATGTTATACTATGCAATACAATGTATATGTAAAGAAAGGATATTTATACAATGTAGTACAATTTCTACGTTAATATAGGTAATTATATACAATGTTATACAATTTATATGTGGGGATAGAGTTTTATATATAATGTAATGCTATTCGATCAATAGTAGGATACATACCCAATATCACACATCAATGTTCATCTAACATCTGAGATTACACGAGTTGATTGCGTGTATGTATTCTGTGGGCTTTACCACATTGGTACAATAAACGATTGCAATCTGATCAATCACATGACTATATGTCTGGTATTGCTATTATCACATACTTACTACTTTTATTTAAATATGTCTTATATTTTCTGCAGAACATTATAACATTACTCATCATAACCTATATCAAAGTTGAATTTGAGTTATGAAAACTTGAACTGAACAACAGTGAAGGACAGAATGCCGAGGTCACATTACCATAGCGCTGTATGTTTAAACTGTGTTTTTCATTTGCTTGAAAATCACCCTATACTATCAATATGCTTAGATGATCCTGCGTCTGGAGTGACTAGGGAAAGCCATGAAGGTCAACAGGAGATGGAGAAAGGTTTTGAAGGTCATCAGGAGACTGGGAAAAGCCATGAAGGTCAACAGGAGATGGAGAAAGGCTTTGAAGGTCAACAGGAGACTGGGGAAAGCCATGAAGGTCAACAACAAGCTCATGAAGAAGGTCACTGTGAGGGCCATTCAAAAAGCAATGTTTCCCCACAATATACAGACATAGGAAGACCTGATATACCAGAACATGTTCTACTGAAATCTCTACCGAATGGATGGGACTCTTTTGACCGGGTTTTTATGTTAAGTGCACTACATGGAAAAGGTGTACAAGCTCTAAAGGTAGTGTGGGTTTACAAGCTCTAAAGGTAGTGTGGGTTTGCAAGCTCTAAAGGTAGTGTTTCTTACCTTTCTAGCTATGAGGCATTTCAAATACAGACAGTATACAGAATCATATAGCACAACCAGTAAAATGTTTATATGTGATGTTTTTTATGACTAGTACGATATATATTTTGTCCTCTTTACCTTCATCAGACAATTCAGTTACTAATGTGAATCAACACTTTATATAGATGTAAAATATGTATGAGTAGGTAATAAAGTTGCCATGTCAATTCAGCTGTGCATGAGGGTATGTACATTCAGGTCTTATAATGTACAAAATAACTATGAAGTTGACAAAGAATTTTGGGCAAACATGGTTTAATAACTAGTCATTGATGTGTGAGGGTCTGTAAGCGACCTCATCTCAAAGTCTTTTTCTCTCTGTTTTCCAACCCTAATGATTGATGTTAGCCAATATCGCTGCTCAATCGGTATTTGGAATTCATTAATTAATCCTTATCTACATATTCACAAGCATACATCCTCAAGTAGTGCAGACGTCAAGTGTTCAGTCCACAATCCTCCAGTTTGTACTCGATTTGAGCCAAGTTTATTTATTACATACATTTTCTTTATACTCCTTATTTTGATAATAAGTGGTGATGTTCACCCTAATCCAGGTCCAGACAAAAACAACCTTTCCATATGTCATATCAATGCTAGAAGTCTTCTGTCAAATTCAAATGAATGCAATTATCACAGATCCAAACTTGATGAAATTGAAAGTGTGCTAACTAACCACTCACACTTTGACATCATAGCTATCACTGAAACTTGGTTGGGCCCAAACATAGAGAACTCAGTACTAAACATCCAAAACTACCAGTTTTTCCATAGAGATAGAAACAGACATGGGGGAGGTGTTGCTCTTTACATACATGATTCTATCTCGTGTAGAGGTAGATTTGACCTTGAATCAAATGAAGTTGAAAGCATATTTTTAGAGCTATCCCAGCATCCTCATAAACTATTTATCGGCACAATATATAGGCCACCAAATCAGACTTCAGAAACTAGAAATTCTCTCCTCAATTACTTTACTGAAAATCTTGACAAAATGCGGCACGACCGTCCAGACACTTTTATCTTATTAGGCGACTAAAATGATCGATGTAAAGAATGGAATGGCTCACACGTAAATAGTGACCTAGGTTTAAGGTTATACAATATATCGCATCTAAACAATTTGTGCCAACTCATAACGGAGCCCACACGTTATACTGAAAATACTTCAAACATCTTGGACCTTATTAGGGCCCCGTATCGGAGATACGGGTGCCCTATAGTAATCACTCTGTCTGTCTGTCTGTCCACAAATTTTGTTCCTGGCTGATAACTTTGGTATTTATTGACCGATGTACATGAAATTCGGTCAAGATGTTCAGTTCACAAAAATACACATTGATGTAAAAAGTCAAGGTCATAGGTCAAGGTCATTAGGTTCAAATGTCAAGGTCAAATTTTGCATCTTTGCACTGATGAACATTTTGTTATGACATGATGAAGCAAAGTTGATCAGAATTAAACAAGGAGTCAACCTGACTAAATGTCAAGGTCATTGGGTCAAAGGTCAAGGTTAAATTTTGTATCTTTTCACTGGTGAACATTTTGGTATGACACTTTGAAGCAATGATGCTCAGAATTAAACAAGGAGTCAACTGACCAAAGGTCAAGGTCATCGGGTCAAGGGACAAGGTCAAATTTTGTAGCTCTTCACTAATGAACATTTTATGACATTATGAAGCAGAGTTGTTCGGAATTAAACAAAGAGACACACTGTGGTATAAAGTTGAGGTCAAAGGTTGCAACGAATATATTTTAAACAAACTCAGTACCAGCAATTCTAACAACAAGCAGTTTTGGTCCATATCTAAAGCTCTAATGGGAAAGAAATCTGATACGGTTATACCCCCACTTGTAGTGGATAACGAAATATTTCTGATGAAAGGTTAATGTCAGAAGCTGTTAACAAATATTTTTTTGAACAATGCACCATACCTGACAATATGCCTAAACCAATTTTGCCACCAATAAATACAACAAACAGTACTCTTGACCATATACAGACAACTCCCGATGAGGTACAGACATTATTTCAGTCTGCTAATATTAAAAAATCTACAGGTCCTGATGGATTGAGTAATTACATTCTTAAGTATTGTGCAAAACCTCTAAGTAAATTATGGGCTACTATATTTAATAAATCCTTCCAAAGTGGTGTCTTCTCTACTTCTTGGAAAAAATCCCAGGTTTGTCCTGTATATAAAAAAGGCTGTAAAAAGCAAGTTAACAACTATAGACCCATATCTCTACTGTCTAATACATCAAAATGTCCTGAAAAAATAGTTCTATAAACATATATATGACTTCTGTAAAGAAGATGATATTTTAATAGAGGAAAATTCTGGTTAAAAAAAAAAAAGATTCTGCTATTAATCAGCTTGTTAAAATAGTACATAAAATTTATCAGTCACTGGATAATGAGAAAGATGTTTGTTCAACTTTTTTAGATGTATCAAAGGCTTTTGACAAGGTGTGGCACCATGGGTTACTGTATAAGCTCCAAAGTATAGGTATAGATGGAGTTCTATTGAACTGGATCTCAAGTTACTTAAACAATAGACAGCAGTTTGTCGTTCTTAATGGTAAAGCCTCAAGTTCTATGTATACAAATGCTGGGGTTCCACAGGGATCTATTTTAAGTCCTCTTGTCTTTCTAATTTACATACATGATATTAACCATAACTTACAATGTGATATAATCCTCTTTGCTGATGACACATCTCTCTCTAAAGAACTTTTAAACAAAACCTCTTTAACAATGCTAAACAATGGCTTACAAAAATTATCTTTATGGGCAAACAAATGGCTAGTTACTTACAATCCAAACAAAACAGAACTTGTAATTTTTTCTAAGAAACGAAACATAATAAACCTACTATCAAACTACATAATATAGCTATAAAGCGAGTTTCTCCACACAAGCATCTTGGTTTAAAACTTTGTGAAAACTTAACATGGACATCTCATATCTCTGATCTAGTTACAAAAGCAAACAAAATTCTAAATATTTTCCTTACTTTATGTTATATTATTCCTCGTTCGTGTATGGAGGCTTTATATAAATCTATTGCTCGATCAACATTAGAATATGGTGATATTTTATTTGATAATTGCATGCAGGTAGAATCACATCTTTTAGAAAGTGTTCAGCTTAGAGCTGCACTTATATGTACTGGTGCATACAAAGTAACTAAATATTCTAAATTATTATCTGAATTGGGATGGGAACCCCTTAAAGATCGCAGAAGACATCATCGTCTTACCCTATTGTACAAAATAAAACACAATCTCTGTCCTTCATACCTTCATCCCTTATGTCCACTTAATAGCCACCGAACTAACAACTATAATTTTAGAAACTTCAGATACTAAACGAAATTCCAATTTTTCATAAGGCCATGGCAAACACAAAATAAATCATGCACGTATAAGAATGGGACTAAGTGCTCTTAACAAACACAGATTTTCATACAATCTAACATCCAATAAGTACTGTGATAACTGTTTAAATTTGATTGAAGACGAAAAGCATTTCTTTCTTTACTGTACAAAATACCAGAATGTCAGACATACCCTATTACAAACTGTATCTAGAATTATATCACCAAACATTAATCCAGACACTGTGCCTAATTTAATACCTGATCAGCTATGTACATTACTTACTAACGGCTCAAACTCTCTTTAACAACAGACAAATACCCCCTCCAATCTTTCCCTCGCTCTCTCTGTCTGCCTGTCTGTCTTTCCCTCTCGTCCTCTCTCTGTCTCTCTCTTCCTCTCTCTGTCTGTCTCTGTCTTTCTTCCTTCTTATTTTTCTCCGTGTATTTGTCTGTTTGTGTTGTGTGTGGGTGTGTATGTGTGTGGGTGTGTATGTGTCATGAAGTGGTGCGAATGAACAGTGTAAATGTTCATGCATTTCCTGTATTTTGTACTGTATGTTAATAATGTAAATGTTGTACCGTTCACTTATTTGTTAAATGTGAGGAAAACAACTTGTACCCCTTGGGCTGTTCGTAATCCTCGTGAAATAAATAAAGAATTATATATATCTCAAAATCTGAAACTTAAGTTCTGCCGCAGCTCATAATTTTCCATTGACTTGACTTAATAAAAGATTTTGGTGATATTTCGGCCCCATTATACAAGTGCACATTTCTCTCAATCTAAATCAGTTACTGTTCAATATGGAGTGGGTGGATGATGAAAAAAAAAGAAAAAAAAACATGGATGTAGTAGGTGTTATATACTATGTTAGTCAGGATTCTTTTGGTAAAAGATTTCTTTGTTTACCTGTTGTGTAGGACTACTTGTTGTCAAGGGCGTTGTCACGGGATTGGTGTTATATACTATGTTAGTCAGGATTCTTGTGGTAAAAGATTTCTTTGTTTACCTGTTGTGTAGGACTACTTGTTGTCGAGGGCGTTGTCACGGGATTGGTGCTATCACAGCTCTGTAGTAACAGATCAGAACCCGTACCGATTTGCTGAGAAAATTGTTTGGGAGACGATGCTGGAATGTTTGCCCAAAGAAATCCCTTACAAATATTTTCCGGTAAGTAATTTTCCCCCGCTGTTTCTCAATCAAAATACAGATCTTCGCTGAGGTTATAGAAAAGTAACTGTTGTTTTACTTTAATTTAATTTGTAGCTCACCTGCCCAAAGGGCAAGTGAGCTTATGTCATGGTGCGACGTCCGTCATCCGTCCGTCAACTTTTCCTTTAAACAACTTCTCCTGAAGAATGGACAGGCCTAGAGTCATGATATTTGGTTGAAAGCTTTGTTGGTAGGAGCCCTACAAAGTATGAGAACGAAAATAACCTTGACCTACTTTCAAGTTCACAGGGGTCAAATATGTCAAAACCTTCAAACGACTTCTTCTGAAGAACTAAAAGGTATAGAATCTTCATATTATGCTGATGGCTTCCTTGGATGGAGCTTAACAAAGGTTGAGTATGAAAATGACCTTGACCTACTTTCAAGGTCACAGGGGTCAAATGTGTCAAACACTTCAAACAACTTCTTCTGAAGAACTGAAAGGTATAGAATCTTTATATTTGGCTGGTGACTTCCTGGGATAGAGACCAACAAAGTTTGAGAATGAAAATTAGTTGACCTACTTTCAAAGTCACAGGGGTCAAATATGTCAAATGCTTCCAACGACCTTTTATGAGGAACTTTAAGGTATAGAATCTTTATTTTTTGCTGGTGGCATCCTGGGATAGAGCCCAACAAAGTTTGAGAATGAAAATTAGTTTGACCTACTTTCAAGGTCACAGGGGTCATATATGTCAAAAGCTTCAAATGACATCTTCTGAAGAACTCAAAGGTATAGAATCTTTATTTTTGATTGATGGCTTCCTTGGATAGAGCCCGACACAGTTTGAGAATGAAAATGACCTTGACCTTATTTTAAGGTCACAGGAGTCAAATGTGTCAGACACTTCAAACGACTTCTTCTGAAGAACTGAAAGGTATAGAATCTTTATATTTGGCTGGTGACTTCCTGGGATAGAGACCAACAAAGTTTGAGAATGAAAATTAGTTTGACCTACTTTCAAGGTCACAGTGGTCAAATATGTCAAAAGCTTCTAATGACCTCTTCTGAAGAACTGAAAGGTATAGAATCTTCATATTTGGCTGGTGGCTTCCTGGTATAGAGCCCAACAAAGTTTGAGAATGAAAATTAGTTGACCTACTTTCAAAGTCACAGGGGTTAAATATGTCAAATGCTTCCAACGACCTTTTATGAGGAGCTTTAAGGTATAGAATCTTTATTTTTTGCTGGTGGCATCCTGGAATAGAGCCCAACAAAGTTTGAGAATGAAAATGACCTTGACCTACTTTTAAGGTCACATGAGGCAGATATGTCAAACACTTTAAACGACTTCTTCTGAAAAACTGGAAGTTATAAAATCTTAATATTTGGCAGGTGGCTTCATGGGAACGAGCCAAACAAAGTTTGCGAATGAAAATGACCTTGACCTACTTTCAAGGTCACAGCGTTCAAATATGTCAAACAGTTCAAACAGCTTCTTCTGAAGAATTAAAAGGCATTAAATTATAATATTTGGCTGGTGACTTCCTGGGATAGAGCTCACCAAAGTTTGCGAATGTAAATGACCTCAACTTACTTTAGAGGTCACAGAGGTCAACAACATTTTAATGGATTTGTTCTTGAGAACTAAAAGGAATGGATTCATAAGATTTGGCTGGTAGCTTTTTGGAATAGAGCTAACCAATTTGAGAAGGAAAATGACATTGACCTTATGTCAAGCAACTTCTGAAGAAGAATCAAAAAGCATAGGATCTTATAATAATATTTTGCTGGTAGTTTCAACAGATGGAGCCAACAAAGTTTGCGAGGGTAATATTTTTAGTGCAATATAATATTTAATGAGAATATTTTGCTATGACTGCTTAAATATTCAGGTGAGCGAAACAGGCCCTCTTGGGCCTCTTGTGTTTATATTCTAGTTACTGTAACTAGAATATTTAAAGTCAGCAAATCTCAAGTTGCTCTATGATGTTTCTAATTATTAGCTCACCTGGTACGAAGGGCCAAGTGAACTTATGGCATGGTGTGGCGTCCGCCTTCCCTCCGCCGTCAACATTTTACTTTTAACAATTTCTTCTCAGTAACCAAAAGGCCTAGGGTTATGATATTTGGACAAAAACATGCTGGGATGAAGGGCTACCAAGTTTGTTCAAATAAATGACCTTCATCTATTTTCAAGGTCACAGGGGTCAAATATGTTAAAATCTTTAAACATCTTCTTCTGAATAACCAAGAGGCCTAGGGTGATGATATTTGGCCAGTAACATGCTGGGATGAACGGCTAATAAGTTTGCTCAAATAAATGACCTTGACTTATATTCAAGGTCACTGGGGTCAAATATGTTTAAAACCTTTAAACAACCTCTTCTGAATTTCCAAGAGGTCTTGGGTGATGATATTTGGCCAGTAACATGCTGGGATGAAGGGCTACCAAGTTTGTTTAAATAAATGACCTTGACAAATATTCAAGGTCACAATGGTCAAATATGTTTAAAACCTTTAAACAACTTCTTCTGTAAAACCAATATGCCCAGGTTGATGATATTTGGTCAGAAGGATGTTGGGATGAAGGGCTACCAAGTTTGTTCAAATGAATGACCTTTGCCCATATTCAAGGTCACAGGGGTCAATCGTCTTGAAAATCTTTAAACGTCTTCTTCTGTATAACCAAAAGGTCCAGGGTGATAATATTTGGCCAGAAGTGAATGACCTTTGCCCATATTCAAGGTCATAGGGGTCAAATATGTTGAAATCTTTAAACGACTTCTTCTGAATAACTTGAGCATACAGGGTGATTGCTTGTTGATGTGAATGACCTTGATACACTTTTATGGCCACATCTGATCCATAGTGCATAAATCTTTAAAAGTCATCTTCTCAATAAACAAAAGGTATAAGGCGGTAATATTTGGGAAATTGCATTCTGGGAGGAAGAGCTATGAAGTTTGTTCAACTTAATTTCCATGTTTGACTTTCAAGGTCACAGGGGTCAAATGTGTTTTAATTGTTTAACAGGTTCTTCTGAATAACTTGAAGTCAATACACTGATTTTTTGCCTGTAGCTTTATTTTATTCCACTTTTAAGGTTACAATTGTGAGATTAATACCAGGTGAGCGATGCAGGCCCATTGGGCCTCTTGTTTCCAATCATGAGGGTATTAATATCGTCTGCGATGCCTTGTTATTAGCTTATGGCATGGTACGGTGTCCGGCGTCCGGCCGTCCTTACAGGTTATCCTTAGGACACCTTGGTTGGACTTTGCGCTTGGCTACGTTTCCCTTACAGGTCATCCTTAGGACACCTTGGTTGGACTTTGCGTTTGGCTACGTTTCCCTTACAGGTTATCCTTAGGACACCTTGGTTGGACTTTGCGTTTGGCTACGGTTCCCTTACAGGTCATCCTTAGGACACCTTGGTTGGACTTTTCGTTTGGCTACGTTTCCCTTACAGGTCATACTTAGGACACCTTGGTTGGACTTTGCGTTTGGCTGCGTTTCCCTTACAGGTCATCCTTAGGACACCTTGGTTAGACTTTGCATTTGGCTACGTTTCCCTTACAGGTCATCCTTAGGACACCTTGGTTAGACTTTGCGTTTGGCTACGTTTCCCTTACACTAGAGGTCCAACAGTCATGGAACTTATTGATACAGTCAGAGAAGTACTTCACAGATAAATCTAATGTAGGACATTGTGACCTGAATTTTCTGCTTCAGTGGCCTTGTGTACTAGAAGACCAGGGCCGGTATTCATGAAACCGCGTACTCAGGCTCAACCATGGAATCTGTGCTCAAAGCAACTTTCTTGTAACTCGTTTAAATCATGTCAAACGATCTAAAAGTCAAATGTAAAGATTGAAAACAGTTTTCGGGCTTAAGTCTCTTCAATCTTTTTCAAAACCATTGACATTTTTTTTTTTTTTTTAATTTATAATGAAAACAAGAAATTCGGCTTGCGCACAAAATCCATGCTTGAGCATGAGAACGGTTTCATGAATACGGGCCCTGTAGTCGTCAAACTTCTAACATGTGGATGGATCTTGTGAAGTGTTACACCAATATATCAAAAGTAGGTCCGTGTGAACTATATCTTTCAATTACTGACTTAACTGTTTTTACAGGTGGTGAGATACTGGCTGTTGGAACATGATGTGCTTGTCATACATATGGATATCAACATGTTTAAAACTAAACACATGGTGAGTTTATAAAGTAAACAGTTTGTCTGGAGCATTTCTTCTTTCCTATTTCTCCTAGAGTACCCAGATTTGGTGAGCAAGTAAATCTTGGGATGACAGAGTGTCAAGTGCAAAAATTACTTAGTAGGTCACTGTGACCTATGGTTTGACCTTTACCTTTGAAAAAGTTTGTCTGGGTCATATCTACTATACTTTTCACCTGGAAAAATCAGATTTGATGTGCAAGTATGTCTAGGCTGGCATAGTGTTGTGTGCAAAAAGTAGGTCACTGTGACCTATGTCCTAAGATAGGTGTACAGCTTGGTTTATAAAGAAATCATTACTAGTGGGGGACTATGGAATGCCATGCAATACTTTGCCTTTTTTTATTCTCAATTACATTGACAAATCGTCTTGACACAAAAGAAATGTTTCATTTTCAAAATTTAAATAATTTAGCAGACATTCCCAGTCATCTATCAGATTTATCGTTCAGCCTTGTGGTTACCCCGATTTGTACAGTTGTCCTAAAATACCTGTTGGTGTGTAATAGTGTATGTTGCAACTTACCAATCAGTCCAAATGATGGAAACAGAATCAAATAAAGTGTGAAGTGTTGAACACATTTATGAAGCATGACCTATTTTGACACTTTTTAGGTCACCTGAGCTTTAGCTCAAGTGACCTATTGCTATCCGTTTTCGTCCGTCGTCGTCCGTCGTCCGTCGTACGTCGTCCGTCGTCCGTCGTCCGTTAACATTTTACATTTCAAACTTAAAGTCAAGTTCTGCTGGGCCGATTGAACTGAAAGTTGATAGGAATGATCGCCTCATGGTCCTGACAAAGTGTTGTTATTTTTCGGGTCGATCAGAAATCCAATATGGCCGCCACGGCCGCCATTTTGAAAACCTATTTCAAACTTAAAGTCAAGTTCTGCTGGACCGATTGAACTGAAAGTTGGTAGGAATGATCGCCTCATGGTCCTGACAAAGTGTTGTTATTTTTCGGGTCGATCAGAAATCCAATATGGCCGCCACGGCCGCCATTTTGAAAACCTATTTCAAACTTAAAGTCAAGTTCTGCTGGACCGATTGAACTGAAAGTTGGTAGGAATGATCGCCTCATGGTCCTGACAAAGTGTTGTTATTTTT